CCTACTTGATCATCCCATTAACCAGGAGGCTTTATCTGGGACCAGGGTTGTGGGGGTGGTGGAAAGGAAGGATAGGGTAACTTCAATATCTTGGCTCAAGAACTATTCATAAGCATCAGGCATCCCTTTTGAAGGGGATCACACTGGTAGTCCTACTTGATTGTCATAGTAACTTTTTATCTGGATTTCAGTGTATTTGACACTGAGACAACTTTTAAGAAATCTTCTTCTTATTGCTTGATTTAAAAACTGAAGTTTACAAAAACTGCTATACTAATTGCAATTTGTGCTAGGGTTTTTCCTGCATTGCTATTAAATTAATATGTATCTGTGGCTGTAATGAGGTAAGTATTATATTTCCAGATTTGGCAGTCACTTCTGCTGTGGCCCACCACAGAGCCAAGGAAAACCCAATCTTCGTGTGTCCTAAGCTAATACTAACTCCAATTCTGCTAGAAAGAAAACCTTTAAAGATCCCACATCTGCTGATACCTTAGTGGAATGCTTCACAATATCCTCATCATTCTACTGAAGTCTTAGCTCAGGTTGACTCATTTCACTGCTTATGTAAGAAACTCATCCTGTGATTTATCATTATATTCACAAGGGTGGGGAGAGAGCATCTAGGGAGAGGGTGGTTAAGGAGAGGGCAGTTAAGGAGAGAGCAGGTAAGGAGAGGACAGCTGAGGAGAGGGCAGGTGGGGGGAGAGGGAGGGGTCGACAACCCCAAGGTCGTCTTCCTCTGCAGTGTCTGATGTTGTGTTATGATGCAACTCCATCACTACACGCATCCCCTCTATTCTCCCCCCACCCACCCCTTTATCCTTAACCACATACCTATCCCAACTATACAGTACTCCCCAATCTCACCCTTCCCCACCCATCTACCCTGAGACGAAACTTCTCTATGGCCTGTCTGTTCAACTAACCTGTTGCTGTCCACAGCAACACACACATACTGACTCTTCTGGCACTGCTTGCAGGAACTAGTCCAGCTTCCTCTTGAAAATTTCAACCAGTGATTAATAATAATTGCCTAATGTGGTCAGGTGGCCATGCTTGCAGCTCTCATCAGGAAGGCCAGGGAGGCAGTGTGGGGGGAGGGGCAGTCAATTTCCCAGAAAGAAGATCTTATCTCCAATATTATATGTGATTAATTAATTACAATTCTCCGTTAGTCAAATGTGTTGAAAGTTTTCACGTAGACTGTGTATGCATTAATAGGAAAGTATCATATTGTTGATATATACAATGATAGTATACAATGCTGACAAACCAATGAATAAGACACATATGCAACACTTGAATATCTTTACTGGTGAAACTTTTTGCCTACACAACAAGCTTCAGTCAAATACAGGTGAATATAACACTGGAGAGACGGTATCACAAGTAGTTTTGCGGTGATCAGTTCCTCAGTCTTGGTTGAAGGTGGTCAGTCCTCAAACCTATCCAGGATATAAGGTCTAACTTGTGCCCAGACCTTTTATACTGGGGCAGAAGAGTTGTAGCAGCTGGACATGACATCACAAATAAGCATGGCCTACTAGTGGAAGGGTTGTCATGCTAAACAGACAAGTACTATATTCATCTTCAACAGAGCGCAGTTTCAAGGTGTTCAGGCAGTTGTGAGGTGCAGGAGTGCCCAGCCATGTTACCCGAGATTGTGTAGACAACATGATCATGCGGTTCCCACATACACATATTTCAGTGTATACTTCCTTATACTCACAAAATTTTCTATGCATCATGTGGCAGTAATTCTACAGAAGTATAGATTTTGCTACTGCTTTATTGCCATCCATTTGAAGCATATTTCAACACATTTTAGTTTTGACAATATAGGTGAAATCTTGATTTAACAAACTAATAAAGTGATAGGAGGTCCAATAATGCCAAAGCCAAGACTATCAGACAAAATCAATTTACCCATTAGAACATAAACAATTCTGGATTTAATGGATATTGTTAAATTGAAATCCATTAAATCAAGGTCTAATTGTATAATCATCCCTTTAAACTCCTAGGGGGTAAGGTTCCTAGAGGTCTGCAAAACTAAAAATGAAACAGAAAATTATGCTTGCATTACTTTTGTTGCAGACTTTGGTTCATTTTGTTTCGAGAGATGACCTCTATAATGTTTGTATTACTCTACTAAGCCACTGAGCACAATTTAATGAAATCGTATTGTCAGCTTCAAATTTAGGTGTTGTGCGAAAGCCTAAATGTAAAAAAAAAAAAACTGGTACGTACTTCCATGCAGCCACTTAATTAAAACTACTATATCTCTGGGTTACTCAGAGGTTAAACCTTGGAATAATCATTGCCCACAAACTAGAAAGTGCTCGAGTCTGTAGGGACGACTGTAGCAAATCCCCAAAATTGCAAGCTTTTTTAATTCTTTGCATTTGATTATCAAACTTTTTCAATGGTGGGAACCCAAGAATTAAACTGATTATCTCTACCTTTTTTTTTTTTAAACACTCCAACCATCTCACATCAAGGTAAGGTGACCCTACAAAGAAAACACTTCCACTGTCACTCGTTAAATCACTGTCTTGCCAGAAGGCCACCAACATCACAGTTCATCCCTAATTCAGAGTGCAGGTACTGTACTTCCCATCTCCAGGAATCAAAGTCTGACTAACTGGTTTCCCTGAATCCCTTCATAATGTTACCCTGCTCACACTCCAACAGCATGTTCAATGAACATTAAAATGGTATAAAATATCATGTACAGCATGTTCAATCATAAACACCACTTGCTTCCACTCACTCTTACCTAACGCACACTCGCAAGCCTGCTGAATGTCCAAGCACCTAGAACTCAAAACCTCCTTTACCCCCTCCCTCCAACTTTTCCTAGGATGACCCCCTACCCCTCCTTTCCTCCACCTCAGCCTGAATAAATCTATAATTCTTAACATGATTTAGGTAATCACATTTATGGAGTAACTTGCAATGTAAACAGACTGACAGATGCAGCAGTAACCAGGCATAAGTTGGGTTATAAGTAGGGGTGTGCCAAAGTATCAGTAGGTATAGGATAATTCTGATATCAGTATCAACCTAGAACTGAAAATTGGTTTCTGTATCAGTCAATACTGATGGTATCAGTATTGGTTAATGTTAGTGGCATTGACACTAGCCTAAAATTGAGTATCGACACTGGTAACAGCAAAATAAGTGGTAATATTCCATCCCTAGTTACAAGCACTATTATAGTTTGGCATATACTGCAAGCAGATGATGATCAAACTTAATGTGGCATACATGCAATCAGCCTTTTGGTTACTTTCTTGAAAAGTATCTGATTATGTTGAGGCAAATAAGAGAGATTTGTAAAGGTACAGTTTTCTACTATGGTGAAAGTAAGATACTACCAGAAATTTGAGAAAATGTATTCTAGATTTGCTTGTAACATATAACTACAGTATTACATTTATGGGGAAGGGATGGGGACTGCACCCATAGGAGTCAGAGTGCCTGGGGATGGAAGGCACTCAGAACTCAATTCAAGGAATTGGAGCACAAGACCCATTCCTTAGATTAAGAGCCCCTCACCAGCATCAAGGAACCTCCCTTGAGGGGTGTAACATATAGAACCACTAATAACTCAATCTGCAAATACCCAAATACATTGTCATCCCTTTTAGGCTTTTTGTGTATCCAATACTCTTGAATTATCCATATTATGGATATGTGGTGCACAATAAACTAACCACTTCGGAGGAAGAATATAAATCTGTAACAGAACATTTTACCCCATCTGTACACAAGTTTGAGTTCCACAAGTCTGAAAACAGCAAGAGAGCATATATCAATGATTGTCAAAGTCCAGAGGAGTTAAGGTCACTTCAATAAGTCTAGGACAAGCTGCAGCTACACTTTGTTTAAAGTGTAGCTAAGTAGTGCCTACCGTAATTAAAATTGAGTAAACTAAAATCCACTCACGTATAAACACAAGTATCATCTTCCTTGTCATGCCAGCTGGAGACTAATTTGCCATGTAAAAACCTGCTTTGTTTTATTTACGTACATTTCTTCTTGTGTGTGTAGTTTGACATTAAATGCATTGTGTTGTGTGGGCATAATGCCTGTGACCATTTTATAGCTTTTTTACAAACCAGTTTAAAACCCAACTTTCCTGGAGAATTCCCAAGGAAGCAGGTCATTACTGGCCACAGCCTCCTAGTCTACATAGCCATCACACACTGGTTGATCAGTCATCTCTTGCAAGAAACTATCTAATTTCCTCTTGAGACTTCTATTTTTGTTCTGGCATTATTTTGTACATTAAGTTTCACACACTAAGGTATTTATGAAGAAACGTGCAGAGCAAGCTTCTATTGTGGCAATGTTTCACTTTGTGTAGATCTGTAGTAAGTCTATACAGAACAAAACGGTCACAATAAAAGTAATTGTATTATCCAGTGGTAATGCCAAGGGATGGCAAGAACCAAAGCACCCCCCCCCCCAAAAAAAAAAAAAAACATTATTAATGCCTTCTCTGTTGCAACCCCCAAAATTTTACGTGCTGACAGTGTTACGATGTTTCAAAATAAGAAAATAATGACTTTATCTTCTGAAATGGTATACAATCTTGTCCTGAAGGTAACGATACCAAAAATGCAAAATTTCATGGAAAACTTTTGGAGTTACTCAAATGCAAAGTTGGAGGTCTGGGTGCAATTTATGCACAGGGGATTTTGCTCAATCTGAGTCCTATCATAAGCAAATTCCAATGCTCAATTCAATGCAGTTTCTAGCTATTTCAGCTGTATGCCTTTCCTTCTTTTCTTCAATATGGTGGGCATTACTCTTTTGTGCAATATTTTATTCTGACTGATATTTTCAGTTAGCAGAGGACATGATATATAGTATTATGAAGAGAAGACTTGCATTGAAGTGTTCTACCAATTTGAGAGTGATAACTTCAGCATTAGTTGTGTGTGTGAGAGATAAGAGGATAATATTGATACTGCAATCAAGTACTGTACCTGTGTTAAAGAAGTCATCAGGTGTGCGGCCAGCAGCCATGAGCCACTTCAGCCAGTCAATGGTATCCCAGTTCTTGATGCGCATGGCTGGGTTAAGCAGTAGGTCCAGCAGCTCACCCAGCACCTGAAGTTACCACAACAAACAAATATTATCAACCTAATACGTCAACTATTGTTGTTTCCTTACATGTGCCATTTACCCCAAACATGACCAACAATTTTTTTTTGTTATACTCTACATGTACTACAGTACCTTTATAAAAATTTACTTAACATATGTTGATTATTATCTGACATGTGTTTTACAGTGTGAAATAAGTTAAAATGATTAGGTAATTATAACTGTCACTAGTGAAGCAGTAGTCTGTGGTCTTCCATCATGAATTTAATGTTAACATACAGTTTATTAACTCTTTATTTACCATCTCTAAGGACTGTAATAATGTCTACACTATACAGTAGTGTGTTTTGTATATAGTGCCACAAGTATCACTGTCACTGCTATCTGGAACAGCACTGGTATGAAGAAATATTCATGTGTGGCCAGTGATGCATGTGCTGGTAATTCCCAAACATGACCCTAGTACAAAGTACAGTGGTACCCCAAGTTTCGTACCGCTCCCAACTCGAACAATTATGTAAGTTTATTATTGTAAGTGCTTTTGTATGTGTAATTTTGGGGGTCTGCAAAGGACTAACCTAACTTTAACAGCCTTCTGGAATGAAATAAGTTCAAAACTCAGGGTACTATTTACTCATTTCCTTCATATTTTATGTACTGCCTTCACAATATATTTTGTATATGGAATGTTGTTAGTGACACTCAGTGCCTCTGCTCCCTCTCTCAGGACCCACGGAGAGATCTTATCTGGTCTCACCCCCTTTGAGGAATCAACCTCACAAAGCAGTTTCTTACCTCCTCCCTGGTTGTGTGTATTGTGTCCAACACTTGCTGGCACATTACCCCTTCAGTCTTCCCATGTTACTAACATTCAAAAATATGTTCTGAACATGTAACTGTCAAATACAACTCCTATATGTACTTGTAATTTTTCCCTCAAACCTCATTTAGTGTATATTCCATCTTTGACCTGTCAGTATCTAATTCATACTCAGTAAAGAGGCAATCACTCTCATCAATATTTTGGCTCATAAAATTAATCAGTTTCAACATTGAGGGCGTTCTTCCTACTTCCTGGACCAATAGTCTCATTGTGCCTATCCCTAAGCCCCAACAGCCTAATACATTTAGGCCAATCTCCTTATCTAGTTGTCTTTGTAAAACTTTTGAAAGATTGATACTTAACAGACTGTACTACAGAATCAGACACCAACTTTCCCCCTACCTCTATGGGTTCATGAAAGGTAAAAGTGTGCAAAACTGTATTTCCACCTTTCTCACTGCACACACCTCTACTAGTTTTGCCACTTTTCTTGATCTAAAATCTGCATTTGTATTGCGAACAGAACCGTTATACTACATGAACTAGCCAAAATGAATATTGGTGGTAGCTTACTCTGCTGGATAATAGGATACCTGTCAAATAAGAGTATCCTCTGTCCTTTACCAAGGCTTCAGAAGTGATTCTAAAGAAATGTCTTTAGGTACACCGCAGGGAGGAGTTCTTAGTCCCATGCTATTTAATATTCTGATTAATGCTCTCCTAAATGCTCTACCTGCTATAAGCTATGCTGATGATATCATGATCCATACAACAGGGCATAAGAAGATAAATACCATTCTTAATGAAGTTCAAGCAATTTGTAATCGACTAGGCCTCATAATATCTTCCTCTAAAACAAAGATATTAACAAGCAAACGACATCCCCCACCCATCTATTTGCAGGGTGAAATCATTAGCTACGTTAAAACTTACAGATATCTTGGTGTAGATGTACCCTTTAACAAATCCACTATACCACAACTAAACAAGAAATGCAAAGCTAGGCTTAATGCTCTCAAAGCTGTTGCTGGTTATAACCCCAACTATGGTGCTAATGTGAGAATCGTGAGAATGATGTACATAGCCTATGTTAGGTCCTTAATTGATTATGCTGCTCCCATGTTGATATTAGCTAGAGAAAGTTCTCTCCGGCCCTTGGAGTTAATGCAAAATGAAGCTCTCAGGATTATTCTTGGCTGTCTCAGATCTACAAAAGTTCTTAACATGAGGAAGGAGCTTGGTATTTCTAGTATCAGTGATAGGATTGTTGAGATTAACACTGTACTCGGTATTAGAATGTTGAGAAACGAACCAGACACTGTCACAATGAATCTTACCAAGCGTCTAGAGGTAAATACACACAGATCTAAATGGATTGTGAAAATGTGCAATTGCATTAAGTTTTATAACCTGCATGAACTGTATCACTGTAGGCAACAAGAGCATTTCACCCCTCCGTGGAAGATGTGTTCATTTAATATCACATACCTACAAGTCCCTCCCAAGAAGCTCATTGCTAGTAATTATTTTTTTTTATTATCACACCGGCCGATTCCCACCAAGGCAGGGTGGCCCGAAAAAGAAAAACTTTCACCATCATTCACTCCATCACTGTCTTGCCAGAAGGGTGCTTTACACTACAGTTTTTAAACTGCAACATTAACACCCCTCCTTCAGAGTGCAGGCACTGTACTTCCCATCTCCAGGACTCAAGTCCGGCCTGCCGGTTTCCCTGAATCCCTTCATAAATGTTACTTTGCTCACACTCCAACAGCACGTCAAGTATTAAAAACCATTTGTCTCCATTCACTCCTATCAAACACGCTCACGCATGCCTGCTGGAAGTCCAAGCCCCTCGCACACAAACCTCCTTTACCCCCTCCCTCCAACCCTTCCTAGGCCGACCCCTACCCCGCCTTCCTTCCACTACAGACTGATACACTCTTGAAGTCATTCTGTTTCGCTCCATTCTCTCTACATGTCCGAACCACCTCAACAACCCTTCCTCAGCCCTCTGGACAACAGTTTTGGTAATCCCGCACCTCCTCCTAACTTCCAAACTACGAATTCTCTGCATTATATTCACACCACACATTGCCCTCAGACATGACATCTCCACTGCCTCCAGCCTTCTCCTCGCTGCAACATTCATCACCCACGCTTCACACCCATATAAGAGCGTTGGTAAAACTATACTCTCATACATTCCCCTCTTTGCCTCCAAGGACAAAGTTCTTTGTCTCCACAGACTCCTAAGTGCACCACTCACTCTTTTTCCCTCATCAATTCTATGATTCACCTCATCTTTCATAGACCCATCTGCTGACACGTCCACTCCCAAATATCTGAATACGTTCACCTCCTCCATACTCTCTCCCTCCAATCTGATATTCAATCTTTCATCACCTAATCTTTTTGTTATCCTCATAACCTTACTCTTTCCTGTATTCACCTTTAATTTTCTTCTTTTGCACACCCTACCAAATTCATCCACCAATCTCTGCAACTTCTCTTCATAATCTCCCAAGAGCACAGTGTCATCAGCAAAGAGCAGCTGTGACAACTCCCACTTTGTGTGTGATTCTTTATCTTTTAACTCCACGCCTCTTGCCAAGACCCTCGCATTTACTTCTCTTACAACCCCATCTATAAATATATTAAACAACCACGGTGACATCACACATCCTTGTCTAAGGCCTACTTTTACTGGGAAAAAATTTCCCTCTTTCCTACATACTCTAACTTGAGCCTCACTATCCTCGTAAAAACTCTTCACTGCTTTCAGTAACCTACCTCCTACACCTTTACACTTGCAACATCTGCCACACTGCCCCCCTATCCACCCTGTCATACGCCTTTTCCAAATCCATAAATGCCACAAAGACCTCTTTAGCCTTATCTAATACTGTTCACTTATATGTTTCACTGTAAAACCTGGTCCACACACCCCTACCTTTCCTAAAGCCTCCTTGTTCATCTGCTATCCTATTCTCCGTCTTACTCTTAATTCTTTCAATTATAACTCTACCATACACTTTACCAGGTACACTCAACAGACTTATCCCCCTATAATTTTTGCACTCTCTTTTATCCCCTTTGCCTTTATACAAAGGAACTATGCATGCTCTCTGCCAATCCCTAGGTACCTTACCTTCTTCCATACTTTTTATTAAATAATTGCACCAACCACTCCAAAACTATATCCCCACCTGCTTTTAACATTTCTATCTTTATCCATCAATCCCGGCTGCCTTCCCCCCTTTCATTTTACCTACTGCCTCACGAACTTCCCCCACACCCCACAACTGGCTCTTCCTCACTCCTACAAGATGTTATTCCTCCTTGCCCTATACACGAAATCACAGCTTCCCTATCTTCATCAACATTTAACAATTCCTCAAAATATTCCTTCCATCTTCCCAATACCTCTAACTCTCCATTTAATAACTCTCCTCTCCTATTTTTAACTGACAAATCCATTTGTTCTCTAGGCTTTCTTAACTTGTTAATCTCACTCCAAAACTTTTTCTTATTTTCAACAAAATTTGTTGATAACATCTCACCCACTCTCTCATTTGCTCTCTTTTTACATTGCTTCACCACTCTCTTAACTTCTCTCTTTTTCTCCATATACTCTTCCCTCCTTGCATCACTTCTACTTTGTAAAAACTTCTCATATGCTAACTTTTTCTCCCTTACTACTCTCTTTACATCATCATTCCACCAATCGCTCCTCTTCCCTCCTGCACCCACTTTCCTGTAACCACAAACTTCTGCTGAACACTCTAACACTACATTTTTAAACCTACCCCATACCTCTTCGACCCCATTGCCTATGCTCTCATTAGCCCATCTATCCTCCAATAGCTGTTTATATCTTACCCTAACTGCCTCCTCTTTTAGTTTATAAACCTTCACCTCTCTCTTCCCTGATGCTTCTATTCTCCTTGTATCCCATCTACCTTTTACTCTCAGTGTAGCTACAACTAGAAAGTGATCTGATATATCTGTGGCCCCTCTATAAACATGTACATCCTGAAGTCTACTCAACAGTCTTTTATCTACCAATACATAATACCTTCCTTAAATCTCTTGTTAGAGCAACTGCTCAAGAAGAAATTTCTCACCTAGCTGGTAGTAATAAGTTATCACAAGTTATATACACTGATGGATCTAAACAGGAGTCTTCTGGCAGGGCTGCATCTGCTCTTGTTGCCACCTCCCTAGTTAAGAACGATAATAAATTTGTTGAGTTAGGCATAAGAATTAACAACTGGGCGTCTACACTGCAAACTGAATTGTTTGCAATCCTAATGGCGCTAAAGCTAACCTATGACACTGAGCTTGACTCTATTATCATTACTGATTCTATGTCATCAATGAAGGCTCTTGACTCATATAATGACTCCAACAACATGCTCATTGGAGAAGCCAGGTATAGATACTCAAAAATTAGGGACAAAGGAATTAATGTACAATTGCTATGGATCCCATCACACATTGGATTACTCCTTCATGATAAAGTTGATATGTTAGCCAAGAAGAGTACAGAAGGAGAATGTAGAATATAACTTTGGTATAACTGTGTCTAGCATTAGGAATAATATTAGGAGAGAAGTAAATAATGAAAATGATTGTTATAGGAATGCATAGAAGCCTGAGTAGATCTATAACCCACTATGATAACATGAACGTAGATAAGTATGTTTATGGAGCAACTTGCAATGTGAACAGACTGACTGATGTTGTAGTGGCCAGGCTTAGGCTTGGTTACAAGTACTTCTGGCAGTTTGGGAGAGACACAGATGATGATCAAACTAAATGTAAATTATGTGATCAGGCATATGGTCACTCTCTTGAACACTATGTGCTTAATTGTCCACTTATTGAGGAATACAGAGACAGACAGTATAATAACCTATGTGACATGTCAAGATATCTTATTAACGAAAATAAGATACCAGATATACTAAGCAAATTTCCTAAATTTGCTTGTAACAGATAAGTGAACTATAGATTTATTTATTATTTTTTTTTATTATCACACTGGCCGATTCCCACCAAGGCAGGGTGGCCCGAAAAAGAAAAACTTTCACCATCACTCACTCCATCACTGTCTTGCCAGAAGGGTGCTTTACACTACAGTTTTTAAACTGCATATGTATTCCTGTTAACCATATGTATTCCTGTTAACCCTTTGGGGCCTAGTTCCTAGGCCTTTTGTGTATCCATATGCTCTCGCGCTACCGTCCACAGAATGGATATGGGGTGCACAATAAACTAGCCACTTGGGTGGCAAAATCTAATCTGCACTGTCAGTGTATCTTTTAAGACTTTTACCATATTATGTAATAAAATACAGTATATGTACCTAGCTGGACATAGTATATAGCATGTTTGCAGTCATGTGGCTCAGATCAGCTGTCCTGCAACCTTGACAGACCAACATGCTGTTTTCTTTCGATACTCATTTATTTCATAGGAGTGCTAAACCCATAGGGGTCATACAAACTCTTGGAGAAAGGGAAGCAATCAGAGATGATTCAAGGAAATGGATGGCAGCTCCAATTTCTTGGGTCAAGAGCCCATCATCTGCACCCAGGCACCTTCCTCAAAGATCTTTCCAATAGCCATTGGGTGTCAAAACTTTTAAAAGTGTTATGCCATGCAGATGTCATTAGTATATACAAATATTAATACAAATCTTAATTTCAAAATTACTGTACAAAACATACAATACTCTGAGAGCCTAAAGGATGCAGCATTTTGGACAAACCTTAAAATTATACTGTATTAAAATTTACAATTTTATATATTATTTTGTTAGGGTCTATCTAATACATGTTATTAATAGGAACTTAAAAACAGATACAAGTTTCAAGTTAATTCATAAAATAACATAAAAAAATATAACTGTCGAGTTCTAACAGGATGAGTAGCATTAGTTAAATTACAATGCTAAACAATAAAATGAAATACAAAGTTCTCTGAGAAGTATTTTTGCAGACATGGATATAAGTAGTAAAGACAAAAGATAATACGTACTATGTATGTAAAATTATCAGTACAACTACTCTGTCTGAAGAAGGGATTGAGCTTATTGTATAGTACATGTATACGAGGAGAAAAAATGCTGAAACAATTTGAAAACAAGCAGGTTTCAAGATTTGTTTGACATAGTACAGTGGAACCTTGATGTCTGAATGTACCGGACCTCAAACAAACCACAGTCCAAACAATTCTGTTAAGAAAAAATTGACCCAGTTTTTGAACATTTTTCCAGAATCTGAACGCGATGACTTGTTTAAAATTCAGTCGTAAAAAACTTTTCACGAAAACCCTGTTTCAAAAGTGCTTTGAAGTGACTTCTGACATTGAGCTAACTCTCAGAGACTTTTGCAAGAGTCAACTCAACATCCTCCAGTGTGTGAGGCTGATAATTAGAGCCTGGGAAATACTACAAATAATCTGCACATTGAGAGAAGCTTACAATGATGCTTCTCTCTATATGTAGGTTATTTGCATATTGTTCCAGTCACAGTATTGTGCCTTTTCTGCCTGGGAAATACTGTTTCGGACATCAAATTTCACAGTTCAAACACCACCTAGGAACCAATTAGGTTGAAGCACTGGGGTTCCACTGTAGCTGTCAAGAATCACATTAAGACAGGGAGATGCTCTTTAACAGTAGCTTTGAAGTGACTGGCAGATAAGAAACCTTTAGAATCTTCAGGTAGAGAGTTCCATATACAAGTGCAATATATTTATTTATTATCACACTGGCCGATTCCCACCAAGGCAGGGTGGCCCGAAAAAGAAAAACTTCCACCATCATTCACTCCATCACTGTCTTGCCAGAAGGGTGCTTTACACTACAGTTTTTAAACTGCAACATTAACACCCCTCCTTCAGAGTGCAGGCACTGTACTTCCCATCTCCAGGACTCAAGTCCGGCCTGCCGGTTTCCCTGAATCCCTTCATAAATGTTACTTTGCTCACACTCCAACAGCACGTCAAGTATTAAAAACCATTTGTCTCCATTCACTCCTATCAAACACGCTCACGCATGCCTGCTGGAAGTCCAAGCCCCTCGCACACAAAACCTCCTTTACCCCCTCCCTCCAACCTTTCCTAGGCCGACCCCTACCCCGCCTTCCTTCCACTACAGATGATACACTCTTGAAGTCATTCTGTTTTGCTCCATTCTCTCTACATGTCCGAACCACCTCAACAACCCTTCCTCAGCCCTCTGGACAACAGTTTTGGTAATCCGCACCTCCTCCTAACTTCCAAACTACGAATTCTCTGCATTATATTCACACCACACATTGCCCTCAGACATGACATCTCCACTGCCTCCAGTCTTCTCCTCGCTGCAACATTCATCACCCACGCTTCACACCCATATAAGAGCGTTGGTTAAAACTATACTCTCATACATTCCCCTCTTTGCCTCCAAGGACAAAGTTCTTTGTCTCCACAGATTCCTAAGTGCACCACTCACTCTTTTTCCCTCATCAATTCTATGATTCACCTCATCTTTCATAGACCCATCCGCTGACACGTCCACTCCCAAAAATCTGAATACGTTCACCTCCTCCATACTCTCTCCCTCCAATCTGATATCCAATCTTTCATCACCTAATCTTTTTGTTATCCTCATAACCTTACTCTTTCCAGTATTCACCTTTAATTTTCTTCTTTTGCACACCCTACCAAATTCATCCACCAATCTCTGCAACTTCTCTTCAGAATCTCCCAAGAGCACATTGTCATCAGCAAAGAGCAGCTGTGACAACTCCCACTTTGTGTGTGATTCTTTATCTTTTAACTCCACGCCTCTTGCCAAGACCCTCACATTTACTTCTCTTACAACCCCATTTATTTTTTTTTTTATTATCACACCGGCCGATTCCCACCAAGGCAGGGTGGCCCGAAAAAGAAAAACTTTCACCATCATTCACTCCATCACTGTCTTGCCAGAAGGGTGCTTTACACTACAGTTTTTAAACTGCAACATTAACACCCCTCCTTCAGAGTGCAGGCACTGTACTTCCCATCTCCAGGACTCAAGTCCGGCCTGCCGGTTTCCCTGAATCCTTCATAAATGTTACTTTGCTCACACTCCAACAGCACGTCAAGTATTAAAAACCATTTGTCTCCATTCACTCCTATCAAACACGCTCACGCATGCCTGCTGGAAGTCCAAGCCCCTCGCACACAAAACCTCCTTTACCCCCTCCCTCCAACCCTTCCTAGGCCGACCCCTACCCCGCCTTCCTTCCACTACAGACTGATACACTCTTGAAGTCATTCTGTTTCGCTCCATTCTCTCTACATGTCCGAACCACTCAACAACCCTTCCTCAGCCCTCTGGACAAAGTTTTGGTAATCCCGCACCTCCTCCTAACTTCCAAACTACGAATTCTCTGCATTATATTCACACCACACATTGCCCTCAGACATGACATCTCCACTGCCTCCAGCCTTCTCCTCGCTGCAACATTCATCACCCACGCTTCACACCCATATAAGAGCGTTGGTAAAACTATACTCTCATACATTCCCCTCTTTGCCTCCAAGGACAAAGTTTTTTTTTCCACAGACCCCAAAGTGCCCCACTCCTTTTTTTCCCCTCATAAATTCTATGATTACCTCATTTTTCAAGACCCATCCGCTGACACTTTCCACCCCAAAATATCGAATCGTTCACCTCCCCTATCTTCCCTCAATCTGAATTCAATCTTTCCACCTAATTTTTGTTTTCCTCAAAACCTTTACTCTTTCCTGTATTCCCCTTTTAATTTTTCTTTGCACCCCCTTCCCAAATTCATCCACCAATTCGCAACTTTCTTCAGAATCCCCCCAAGAGCACAGGTCATCGCAAAGAGCAGCTGGACAACCCCATTTTGTGTGTATTTTTATCTTTTAACTCACCCCTTTGCCAAAACCCTCGCATTTATTCTCTTACAACCCCATCATAAATATATTAAAAAACCACGGTGACATCACACCTTGTCTAAGGCCACTTTTACTGGGAAAAAATTTTCCCCTTTCCTACATACTTAATTTGAGCCTACTATCCTGTAAAAAACTCTTCACGCTTTCAGAAACCTACCTCCTACCCTACATTTCAACATCTGCCCATTCCCCCCCCTACCACCCTGTCACCCCTTTTCCAAAACCCATAAAGCCACAAAGACCCTTTAGCCTTATCAAAATATGTTCACTTATTGTTTCCTGAAAACCCCGGGCCCAAACCCACCCCCTACCTTTCTAAAGCCTCCTTTTTCACTGCTACCTATTCTCCGTTTACTCTTAATTCTTTCAATTATAAAATTACCATCACTTTTCCAGGTACACTCACAGACTTTTCCCCCCATAAATTTTTTCCTCTCTTTTTTCCCCTTTTCCCTTTTTACAAAGGAACTATGCATGTCTTGCCAAACCCTAGGTACCACCCTCTTCCATACATTTATTAAAAAATTGCCCCAACCACCCAAAAATTTTCCCCCCCTGCTTTTTTCATTTCTATCTTTATCCATCTCCCGCTGCCTTCCCCCTTTCATTTTACCTACTGCCCCACCCAATTCCCCCCCCACTCACAACTGGGTCTTCCCACCCTACAAGATGTTATTCCCCCTTCCCCTTTCACGAAATCAAGCTTTGCAGTGCTGAAAAATATTATTACTGTCGAGGGGAGTACAGTTGACCTTAACCCCTCAAGCGAGGTACACCTTGTGCGGCAAAGGGCTCTTTATCCAGGAACGGGCTACCTTTTCCTGGGAGAACCGACTGCCTCCCCTTTCTCCGGCTGTAGATCCCTATGGGGTTTTGGCTTTCCCCTAAACCCTGGAGCATTCATCAAAAAATTTTATACACAGGTTTAGCCAATGTCAGTGTGAGATTGTTCCCACATGCTTACATTTTCTTCTTTACCTATAAATTTAGACTATTCTTTATTGATAAGATTGTTTATATTTACAGGTCTTGCTGATAAGTAAATACATTTCCACATACTATGTAATTTTTTTTATTTTTAAATGAGTCATGAAATGTACTTTAATAAACACATAAATTTTTATTTTCCAAGAAGCTACATCTGTGTTACTGTACAAAGATAGATTTATATTACCTGGAGAGAGTTCCAGGGGCCAA